TGAGCTTTAAGGTCCCTTCCAACCCAAACCAGTCTGAAATTCTATGATCTCACTGGCATGCTTGTGAGGCTGGGCAACATCCCGCCTGCACGGGGATTTGGGTGGAAAACTGGAAAGCTCCTTGGCCTCAGCTCCACCTACAATGCCACCAAATGCTACTTTCCACTAAAGAGCATTTATCATCCTTGCAGTTGTAGGAGCTGCTGGCCTGCAGATGGAGGATGGGAGGTGTCTCTAGGTTCAGTCTCTGCATGATGCACCAAGACCCTGCAGACTCACTGTTTGAGTGCCCCGATGTTGTCTATGTTGGCATCCCCCATGGCCACCAGCTCCTGCGTGTTGTCATGGCTGTACTGCACAACACCCACACGGGACTCCCCAGCTTCAAACTGTTGGAAAAAAAACAGAAGGCAGTTATGGTGAGATACCTCAGGGGGCCCTGGAGAACTCAGATAACCTGCTGGTGGGTTTGCACTGAACACCTTCAGGGCAGGCTCTGCCACCTCATCTCTGCCTTATTCCCAGCAGAAGGAGCCCCAGTAGGATTGGGTCCACGTGGGGAACCAGTCAGTGAAACAGGACCTAAACCTGCTGGTTTGGGCTGCAAAGGTCCTTCTTAATAGTGTGCTTAACTGGTAACCTAACCCTAAGCTCAAGGGCAGACAAAGTTGCCTGGGGGGCTGGCCATCAGGGAGCTAGGAGAAGTTGCAACACACCTCATGTGTTATCTACTCCAGCCACCTGAAATGCTCATCAAGACAAGGAAGAAACTGAGAGACTGACTGATTTAATAGTACAGCCAGTAGGACCAGAGAAGTTCTCTTTCCCCTGCACTGGGCACTGGTGAGGCCGCAGCTGGAGTGCTGGGTTCAGTGTTGGGCCCCTGAGTCCAAGAAGGACATGGAGGTGCTGGAGCGTGTCCAGAGAAGGGAACGGAGCTGGGGAAGGGTCTGGAGCACAAGTGTGCTGAGTTCCCTTGTGGCTGAGGGAACTGGGGGTGTTGAGCCTGGAGAAAAGGAGGCTGAAGGGAGACCTTGTGGCTCTGTGCAAGTCCCTTGGAGGAGGGTGGAGAGAGGTGGGGGTGGGTCTGTTCAACCAAGGACCAAGGGACAGGACAAGAGGAAATGGGCTCCAGTTGTGGCCAGGGCAGTTGAGATGGGATGTGAGGAAGAATTTCTTTGCTGAAAGGGTTCTGAGGCATTGGAAGGGGTTGCCCAGGGCAGTGGTGGAGTCCCCATCCCTGGAGGGATTGAAGAGTGGTGTAGACACAGTGCTGAGGGACATGGGTTAGTCATAGGGGACTGGTCAGTGTTGGGTTCATGATTGGACTCGATGATCTTAAAAGTCTTTTCCAGTCCGGACAGTTCTGGGGTTCTGTGAGTGCTTTATGAGCCATCTGCTCTGGGACATGGATGAAGAGTTCACAGCCACAGCAGGCAGAGTCTCTGCCCAGAAAGGGTGAATTGTCCATATATTGGGGGAACAAACTGCTGTCTCATCTCTATCACTTTATGGATCTATGAGGAATCAAGATCCACTCCAGTTACACACTTGAAGCTGAGCCTCATGGAGGCTTTTTGGAGTGGAGGCATCTCCCTGTGTTTTTCTGCTCACAGTGAAAGACAAGTGAGGGCACAGAAGTATATCCCAGCGCTCGGTGAGCATCTCACCTTCACACGCTCGTCCTTGCTCAGGCGGTCAATGACTTTGATGATGAAGTCCTTGGCAATCTGGAAGTTCTGCAGGCCGATGCTCTCCGAGCTGTCCAACACGAAGAGGAGGTCGACAGGACCACAGGTGCACTCTGCAGCAAGGCACAGGAGTGGAGGGGCTTGCATTTCCTATCTCAGCAGCTTGCTCAGAGCAGCTTGTTTTGCAGGGGGACATGTCCAAGCAAGCACCTGATGTGTGTCCTGACCAGCTGAGTGCCTGTGCCCCATCTACTCGCAAAGCACAGCGTGAAATAAAGTGGCAAAAGAGCTGCACAGGAGACTTGAGAGACAGCTTACTAATTTTTCCATTTGGGTTTTGCTCAACACCCCTTGTAAGACACGTAGCATTTCCAAGCTGTGAGTATCCTTAAAATACCCAGTAATTATTCCAAAACTCGTTTCCTCATGTGCCTTCTCACTTCTTCCAGTCAGCCAGGCCAGGAGGACAGAGGTGACACTGGTGGGCTGGAGAGGGCTGACTCAGCTTGCTCCCCTCTTTATGGGAAACAGGACATTGTGTGCCCTTGGCTCTTCCTTCAAGCTTTTGGACTGCAAACCCAACTCATCGGGACAGCATCAGAGAAAAATAACCCAGCACAGGATTTGGGAGAAGGAGGACAGAGCTGGATCCACAGCATGCCCTAAACTGACGTCCCTTTCAACTGCAGAAAGGGTGGAGAAAATCCTCCTGCAGCTTTGCTGGCACAGGGCACCTCAAAAACAGTTTTCCAGTTGTAGGACCCAGCTACAGCAGCCTCCAAATCCACACAGCACCCTTGGGGAGACCTCACTGCTCTCCCTTACCTCAAACATGCTGGGTCCTCCCCTCCTGGGCTCTGACCATGTCACCATAGCAGAAGGCAAGAAGGAGGGAAAGGGAGGGGTGCATGCAAGGAGAAGGGCTAGCAAATGTTTGCAGAGCATCTTTGCCAAGTAACACTCACCACAGCAAGCTGGAGGAGAAGGGAGAGAAGGAGAGAACATTACAACACTGGACAAGGAGGGGTTTTCTCACACTTTTCTGCAAACCCAAAGATCCCTGGTCCAGACAATTGAAGCTCATGGAGGTTTCCCTCCTGTTTGAAATATCCAGATCCATCTCCCGTTTCAGATTGTGATGCCCTGACCTGGAGCACTGCACGCAGCAGAGCTGTGTTTCTGCACACAACCATGAGTTCTTATTTAAATAAAAAGCTCATTCTAGAGGGATTAAGTAAATCACCAGAGTATGAAGCTCCAACCGAGTTCCTTAAGTACCCTGTGTCCTTCCAGCACTTCATTACTGGCCGTGGGCCAGAAACCCTTTGCAGCACGTGCGTACGGCTGCTCCCCATGGCAGGACACCCCAGAACAGACCTCCCTTCCCCAAGAGGGAAAGTTAGACCCCTCTGTTTAAGAAAAAAACATTGTAAAATTGTCCACACAAAGGTTTTACACGACTTTTGCTCTTCTTTTCCCTGAAAGGTGACTGTGTCTGCACACAGCAAACTGGTCTGCAGCACACACACGTGAAACGTGGTTGCATGACTTACTCTGGAGATTGAGCTGGGAGTCTCTGCGTCAGGAGCAGGGACAGCAACACACAGATGATTTCCCTCATTTTGGGTTGCTGTCTCAGGTGCAGGGAGGACCTCCCACCCCTCCCTCAGCTCCTTGACTTAATTTTGACTGGTGGAAGCAGAATGATGCCCACAGCATCCTTCTGCATGCTGCCTGGGGACAGTTCTGCTCCCCGGGGGCCAGAGAAAAAGCAGCCACTTCCCACTCAGCAAGGAGCTGAGCAGGGTCGGAGGAGAGTGGTACAGGGATACTCACAGCACATCTTCATAATGATGTCCAAGATTTCACATTCCTGAAAACAGAGGTAAAGAAATGTTTGGATAACAATGAAGGCAGCTGCTTGGCTCCCCAGTGCTGCCCACCACCCCGGCTGCTGCTTTGTGCCCTCAAAGCAAGTCCTGATCTGGAAATGAGTGATGTGCAAGTGGGATGTGCTATGGAGCAGGCTGGCTGGTGATGGACTGGAGTGAAGGAAATCTGACCAGTGAGACTCACTGGGACAGTAATGGGGGGCAGTCACCACCCAGCCTGCGAGCACAAGGCTCTCCCAGCAGCCACCCCCTCCCAGAAGCCATCATGTCAGGTAGGGGAAGCACAGACCAAGCAAGAAATCCTGTCCCACTTACATCTGGTCCTGGAGGGCCTACGGGTCCTGGTGGTCCCTGTCAAACAGAAACATGGAGAGAGCAGTTACAAGAGCAGCCAGTCCCATCTGTGGTGTACTCTGACAATACTTTGCTACCTAATGCATCTCCTGGCTTCCCAGCTGCGGGCCTCTGAGTTGGGCTTTGAGCAGGTCCATCTACTAGCTTGCATGATATCCTGGGGCTGCATGGGGATGTGGGGAGGGAGACTCATTTCCACATGTGCCATGCCCACTGAGGTGAGAAGGTGAGCTCTTGCTGCAGGCAGCGAGAACATGCACCATGTGTGACATGGATTGGCATTGCCCCCACAGCACCCAGGGGATGGAGGGATGGATGGATGGATGGATGGATGGATGGATGGATGCCATTTGCTTGGGAGATGCCTCTCTAGCCTCCAGGCCAACGTGAGGCAATGCAAGGAAGTGGTGACTCAACGTGAACTGAAGCACTTTGGGGTTCAGGATGGCCACTCTGAAAGACTGTTTGCCCTTGCTGAACCTGGTCATATGAGAACCTTTGCTCATGAAAAATCCCAAGTGCCTGTATTTTCTGCCCTGATTTGGGATGAACATGGTTTCACAGACCCATGTACCAAGCTGCAGCAATGGGTTTTCCAACTGCCTTGCTCCTGCTATGAGCAGGGCCAAGCACAGCAAGTCTGTGGCAAGCCCCACTGTCAGGAGCTCCATCAACCCAGCACCCTGCACTCCTCAGTTCAAACCCTACCAGGGTCCTCACTTACCGGGCGGCCTTCAGGTCCTCGGTGGCCCTTGGCTCCTTTGATGCCCCTGGGACCAGGGGTTGAGTTCTGGGATGAAAACAAAAACAAAATCCACAAATCTGTGTGTGTGTCAGGGTCAGGGTGCAGCACCTTCCCCCTTCCAGGTGTCTGCTGAGCCTTCCTTAACCACAAAAGTGTTCTCTGAGATTGCTGTACCCCAACCAAACTAGTTAGGACTTGAAGAAGGATAAATACTGGGAATATCCCCCTCCACAGGACAATGGTGCTGCACAGGGGTAAACATCGCTGCTATCTGGAAGCATACAAAACATGGCAGAGATGACACCCACCTCAACCTTGACGCCCACCTCAACCTAACAGATCTGCTGATTTTTGCCAGCCATAAGCTGTAGGACACAAAATGAACATCTGGAGAGAGCTCCCCTCGCCATTGGACACTGCTCAGTAGCAAAGAGCACTTCCAGACTTACAAAACTTGATGGGCTCTGACCCACAGGCAAGGAGGGCAGTGTGAGACACCCAGCCCAAAGCTCCTGCACCCTCTTCACAGGGAAGGATGATTCAGCTTTATACAGATTACTCACATCATTGCCAGGGTCTCCAGCTTCTCCTTCATCACCTTTAGGACCAACATAGCCTTTTGTTCCCTGAAAAATAGTACAGAACAGACTCCTGCATGGACAGTCGTTGCTAGTGTGGTGAGATTGGTGCTATGCAGTGACCTTGGGAGAGCTGGCTTGGGAGGGGGGTGAAGAACAACATATGGGCTCCCAATTGCAGGGCCATTGAGGGAGAGAGCTTCTTAGGTGGCTTTCACCACTACAGCACCATCCAGTTCCCCCTGGGTGATACTCCCAACCCCAAACTCTGTCTCCAGGGCTGCATTGGAGAGTGCTCAGCCCAGGCTGCTGCACTTGGGTGTTACTACCAGTGCATCAAGGCAGGACACTTCCACCAGAAGCATCCACTGCAGGGAGAGGTGAGCAGAAGGAAAAGAGGGTTTTGGAGGAGCAAGATGCTTCAAGGGAGCCCATTTCATCATAAAGCTGATGGAGAGGTTCTAGGAGCCAAATCATGGGCCAGGGTAACTTCTGTTGGGTGTATGAGGAAGCAGCACACTTACGTTAATGCCAGGATCACCTCTGTCTCCTGGCTGCCCCTGGGGATCAAGGAAAGGAAACACATTAGGTCAGACAAGTAGAGATAATGGTCAAGTGAGGAAATGGCCTCCAGCTGTGGCCAGGGCAGTTGAGATGGGATGTGAGGAAGAATTTCTTTGCTGAAAGGGTTCTGAGGCATTGGAAGGGGTTGCCCAGGGCAGTGGTGGAGTCCCCATCCCTGGAGGGATTGAAGAGTGGTGTAGACACAGTGCTGAGGGACATGGGTTAGTCGGGGACTTGTCAGTGTTGGGTTCATGATTGGACTCGATGATCTTAAAGGGCTTTTCCAATCCAGGCAATTCTGGGATTCTTACAGTTTCAAAGCAACACAAAAAACTCACCGGGGCACCTGTGAATCCAATCGTGCCATTCCCAGGAGGTCCATCCTCCCCCTGGAAAGGAAGGGAGAAATATGTGAGATAATGAAGAGCAGACCCCTTAGGCAGCATGGCAGCAGGATCCTGCCCTCCTTGAGTAGTTTATCTCCACAGCAAAACATCTTTGTGTCCCCACACAACTGGTGGGTTGGACAGTGGTGCAGGCAGGTAAAAAGACCATCTTGTTTGCATGTGGCCACTGAGAAGAGGTGACACTGTCCTTCTCAGAGACTGGGGATATGGCCACAGGCTGGGAACAGATTGGGAAGTTGCTGGAAAGTACATCCCAAAATACTCATCTTTGTGCCTGCAGATATGATGCATATTCAAAAGCAGGCTGCTTGCAAACTCCCCCAGTGTCCCAGCTCTTCATTAATGCAATTTCTTTTCTCCCTGAGTTGGATCACGCTGTGTGGAACCAGCCTGTTGCACAACTTTTCCCCGTGACCTACAATCCCCACAAACAAATACCACTCACCCTTTCTCCCATCAGACCAGGGTCTCCAGGCAGCCCAGGTGCTCCAGGCAATCCCTTTGGGCCCTGGAAGGAGCAGAAGAAGCAGTCAAGAATTGCACTCCATCCTTTCAGCTGGGAAGATGATACCTTCTGAGGCAACCAGCTACCATCATGGGAGGTGTTTTGCTTACACAAGAGCAATGCAAAGCTCACAGCTGGGCTTGGGATCAAATCTGCTTGCAAGATTCCAGTGGCTGCCCTTGGAGATCAGATCCCCCAGCTTCTGTGATAGGAAACCACACAGCTTGTGGTGTGGCTGTACCTACAAGTGGTCTCAGGGAGGTAGGGAAAAAGGCAGCCATGGCTTTAAGGAAAATGCCTCGATGGGTCTGCCAGGAAGCTAGCACCTCAATTTGTACCCACAACAGATTTCCAAGATCCGAGGGATTTGGGGATAGCCCTAATGGGCAGCACCACCCAGTCTTCCCTTCATCCCTCCCCCCAGAAGATGTGGTGATGAAGCAGCACTGACCTCATTGCCACGAGGACCATCGTCTCCCCTGTAGCCCTTGGGTCCCGGAGGTCCAGCCTCACCCTAGGGAAACACAAAGAGCTCTCACAACAGGGATTTTCTCTCAGTGCTCTTCCTGTCCTGAAGGGCTGGTCCCTTCATTTCATGATCTGGTGGGTGTGGGCATCCACCTCATGCCTCTCACCCATCAGTGAGTCACCTCTGCCTTGGTCAGCCTCATGGGAACAGACCTATTGACAGGGGTTAGTGCAGGTGGGGAGATGCTTCAGGAGCTGTGCTGGGTTCCCCCAGTGTCCCCCCTGCAGCACAAGCTGCAGCTCCTCATGCTTCCTTACGCCTGATTTCTGTGCACAGCCCCATCAGAGGCAGCCCTGGCCAGATCCCCACCGAGTGCGAGCCAAAACAAGGAGCTTTCTGGGCCAAGGTGTGACACTGCAGGCGTGGGTTGGACATCATGTGCTTGCTTTCAGTGGCAGCCAGGCTGCGGGAGGGAGCAACCTCTGAGCAGAGCTTCCATGGCCCTAAAAGCCATCCCTCTCCTCCACACCTCGGTCTGGTGACAGAGGACCAGGGAGGCATAGATGATGCTTTCCAGCAGCAAAGCACAGCTGGGTTGCACCGTGGCATCTCATTATCTGTGACAGAGGTGCCCCAGGGGGTGGAGAAGGGTTCTTGGTGGAACATGTCACCCTGAAGGTGACACAGACCTCCCTCCCCACATCTCAAGGCTCGGACATGTCTGGGTCACAGGTGGGCTAGCAGAAGCCCTTTTGTGGCTCCAGGGAGTTTCTGTCCCCAGAGCCCTGGCAGTGTGTGCTGGAACAGACCAGAGCTGTCACTCTGCCACATCCCATCTGGGCAGTGGCTGCTCTGTCTGTCAGCTGCAGGGCTGGCCAGAGACAGACAGGATCAAGAGAGGAGGTGGGAGGAGGTTTTTTTTTTAATCTGAGAGCTCCAATAGATGTCCAAGGGAACTCCTCCACCTTCTACTTGATGCCAAGAGCCCTTCATGAGGTACACCTTCCAGGAGATTGGTAATGATGGTGGGTAACAACTGGGTGATGATGCTCTTGCCCACAGCTCCAAATGCTTGAGCAAGGCAGCATCTCATGTGGAGCCAGGTGTGCTGCTGGTTCCCAGGTGATGGAGATGGCAGAGGGAAGGTAGAGAGTAAGCCATGGTGGGAACGAGCGACGTCTTGGCATTGGCCCCTCCAACATCACTGTTGCAGGCAGCAGTCATGCCCGTTCAAGACTCTTGAGCTCTGAGATGTTTTCTGTGATGAGGCACACAACTGCAGTCTCCTGACAGGTGGAAGGCAACACTCACTCTATGGTGCTTCAGCAGCACTTGCCCAAGAGCTTCCTCCATATTTTCAGTGCATTATCAGCACCTCTGAGCTTTTTTTGGGGTGGCTCAGCCTAGCCCAGCTTTGCAGCTCCTCTCTCAACAGCCAAAAGCTGAGGAAGCTGAAATCCCTTCCAGCTGTCATCTCTGCTCCCCTTTGCTTGACAGCAGCTAGGAGAAGCTGGTGCCAAACATCATGCCATGCACACCCTTCCTCCAAGGAAAGGTGCACAGGTGGGCGCAGAGCCCTTGAAATTCTACAGTGCACTAAACTGCTCGAAGGCAAGTGACCTTATTTCTGTGCAAAAACCCAGAAGAGAGAAAGCTGGGAAGGAGAGACAGGGACTCATGATCCTTCAACATCAGCCAAAGCTGGATCTACAGCAGCCTTGGCTCTCACTGGCCGTACACAGCCTCGCTGTAGCACACAAGGCAAATCCCTCACCGCCCTGGAAGAGTTTAGGAAGCTGCAGGATTTTGGATTGAGAAATCTTTAGCAGTTCCCTGTCCTTTACCTTTCTCAGTGCAAGAAGAACCACAGAAGGGATGAGTACCAAGAAAAAGGGACCAAGGAACTTGCCTGTGAGGATGAGGGAAAGAACATGCTGGCCTTTAGCTTCTCTTGGATAGAAAGAGGATGAAAGGGAGTCACAGGTTAGCGGGAGCCCTTGCTCCTTGCCAAGAGAAATACGCTCCAAGAGCCAAAGCTTGCAGAGAACATGGCTTGAAAAACACTTGTTTGCCAAAGTCCTTCTCTTGTCCAAGCCCAATTACGCATTTATTTTTGATTTGGCCAAGCAAAAGCATTCTTGCTCAGCTTATGGAAAAAATGTCCTTGCTTTGCAACTGCTTTCGACATCTCTTGGAGCAGCGGAGGTGCTGGGGCAGTCTCTGGTCTGGGGAGGCACTGGAGCTGCTTCTGTAATGCTTCCCTCTCTGACAAGGGTTTGACTCAAGTTCAGAGCTCCCCAGGAAGGAAGACTAATGTCCCACAGGCTCAGTGACAGCAGGGAGACCATTCTTTCTCCTTTCTTCTCCTCCTTCCCACCAGTGAAGTCTGGCTGGAGGCAGGATCTACCCCAGCCTGGCTCCCCACCACGCTTGCAGAGCTTTGGCTGCCAGACTTGCATCAAATCTCCACCTTAACTCTGTCTTCTTCTGTACAGTTCTTCTCCTGCCTTGAACCTGGAATGAGGTTCTACCACACGGAGAGCAGCTCCAGTTCCTTCTTTGCTGGTGTCAGCCTGCAGTTCCAGTCTATTACATGCACATACCCAAAGAGCTGCCTTCCTACCAGAGCCACTTCCTGAAACATCACCTACCACCACGCCAGTGCCCAGCAAGCTGGATGAAGCTGCCAGATGCTCTTTGGTTGTGGTAGAAGTTCAGCTCAGCTACAGACAGTAGGATCTGGACAATCCTCCTGCATGAATTTGTTGCTCTTCACTAGCATGAGACAGGCCAAGGGAAGCCCAACTTGGCACAAGCATATCCTCACCACAGGCTGTGGCATGGTACAGGTCTGCCATGGGGTCACCCATACTGGGGACAACGCAAACATAACAGCAGGTCCTTCATGGCTGTCCTGCACTCCACATCCTCAGGGCTTTTCAACACTTGGTTGACCATAAAGGAGTTCAAAATCTGACTCATCTTTGTCTGCATGCTGGTCTCCACGATTCATGCCTTGGGGAAGTCCTGCTCCACCACTGTGGGAATCTTTATCTCTAGACTTCTCTCTATCTTAGGTTCTGTCAAAACTCTGATGGTATGAGTAGGAGGGGAGGTGTCTCACAGAGCCATGACCAAGGGTAATGTCAAAACATGCTTGCTTAGGTGGAAAGACCCTGTTGGCCATTGCAGTCAGAGCTATCACCATGGATGATTAACCCACCAACACCTCCAAACTCTGGGTACATCTTTGGGAAGAAAGAGCCTTTAATTGTGAAGAGGACAGAAGCCTTCCTCAGGCTGGAGACACCAGCTTTGCTCTCCAGAAAACCCATGGGTTCTGAGATGTGTTCTTTGAGACACACAAAGACAAGCAGATCCAGAGTAGGAGGGCCAGACCTTGCAGCAAGCAGACTTGAGGAACACTGGCTTTGGGACAGACTGTCTCTGCAGATGCCAAGGGTGTCAGGGACACTGCTGGCACCCATCAGGCTATCCTCACTGACACAAGGTGTCTCATGGACTCCCTTGACTGAGGTGACAGCGTTTGGCCCCAGGCCTGAACATTTTGTGCGTTGCTGCAGCTCACACTTGCCAGTTTCCAAATCTGTCAGATGTGTTGACATCAGTTTCCATGGGATTGGGAAATGGCGTGGAGGTTGCTCTGTCCCCAGCCCAACTGCCACGTCTCCATTTTTTATTAGCCCTGTAGAAATCCCTGCCCCTCTCCACCAACTTTGCTACCCAGTCTGGAAGATGCTGAGAACTTGCCCCAAGATTCTGTGGCATCAGTTAAGCCCCCTGCCCCACTTTCCCCACTGCCCCAGTCACTTCCACCTGGCATCTAGAAGGTTAAAGCAAGCTCTTACCTGGTCACCAGGTGGTCCGAGAGGTCCTTCCCGCCCTTGGTCACCAGGTGGTCCAGGCTCTCCCTGAAAACACACACACAGGATGTGAGGAACTCAAAGAGGGATAGGTACAGAGTGCAAAGGGCCCTGCTGGCAATGGGGAGTTGGGATGCAGCTCCAATGGCTCGTG